CGTGTTCAATACTTTCTCCCTGTGTCATTCCACATTATTACAAATAACTTCATTTCTGGACATGTATGGTTTGATTTCTTTGTATGTATGGATCACTTGGGTTGTTACCAACATCTGTTGAAAATTTCATGTCATTAGCACCTCTAGTAATAKATTTACTGAGAAAAATGGTGACGTGTTCAATACTTATTTTACCCGCAGTATTTCTACTTTTAATTTTGTCAGTTTAGATCCTCCATAAAATTAAACACCATCTGTAAAAAGAAGAAATGGGACACGGGAGAAGACCTCATTGAAGAGGACAAAAAACGAAATCATATCCACATGAAAAAAGTTGAGCTGTTCTAAATTTCCGATCTGATCGGTGTTGGTTTTCTACATTTCTGTTACAAACTGTTAAGAAGGAACAAAAGGGCTTAAATGGAGTGGATTTCATTTAATAGTTTTGTTGAGGTTGGGAATGTTACACTGAACATACAGTAGATGTGAGAAGGACCATTGTGTAAATGAGAGTTAATCAGTTTTCCTGTTTTTCTGTATCCTCTTTACAGCATATCTATATGCAAATTATCTGCAGTTGTCAAGAGACGAATTTTATGAATTTGGGGTTTTGTAACTTATGCATTCATTCATGAAAACAAAGATAAATTTACAATAAAAACAAAACAAGTCAGTAATAAAATGAAAGGAGGCAGAAAGATTTAAAAAAAAATTTGTATCTGTCCCAAAAAATTAAATTAGGTCCTTCCTGAACAATTTGTCAATTTTTTTTCAGCCGTTACCATTCTCTTAAATAAACTTTTCCAACAGAGCAAAACTGTGGTTTTAAAAAGAATCCTATTTCCTTTAAACTCAATATAACACATTTTGTATGTGTATACTATTTTATATCTRACTTTATTTTCAAGCATTATTCCCACAAAATTTACGCACATCTTTTTAGCTACTGTTTTGCCAGTTTTAGCTTTTTGCTAGATTTAACGAAAGTTCTGCTACTATTAGTTTTTGCCTAGCTTGTTGCTTTTGAACGACCTCTGCTATTTAACTATTACCCAGCCTGTTGTATAGGTTTAGATTCTAACTGACCTTTTGATACGTTTATCATTTGATACAGTGGGGAGAACGAGTATTTGATACACTGTTGATTTTTCAGGTTTTCCCACTTGCAAAGCTTGTAGAAGAC